GCTTTTTATACCCTGTTTAATATTCTGTATTTACTCTGCCCGAAATGCTTGTAGCGAATTCCCACATCATTGTGTCTCACATTTTGTCTGCAAGTGTATTAAATCTTCGCAAGCTCTAAACTGTCTTTGAGCTTGCCTTGTTTTTACTTGAGGCTTCGAATTGGCCAAGCGTTTAAATAAATTGTGTGGAGATTAAATGAAAATTGCCTCGTGGCTAGTGTCGAGTGCTGCATCCCCATCGAGCGACGCTTGTCCAAGCTGAAGCACATTTTCAGGCTTATCCCCATCTCCAGCTCCATCTCCAACTCCATGGCCATCTCCTTCTTCAGCTGGTGACACGTATGGCTGCTGACACATCCGCTGAAGCAGAAAGTTGTCAGCGGCGCTGATCGCTTCTAAAGGCTAATTAGTGTGAGATTTGGTCTTTGATTAGTTGCAAAGAGTCATCAAAAACACAGCAAATGATGAAAGCGGACACCGAATCTAATATACACTCGCTCAGCCCATGTTTCTTACTCTCTAAGCAGCTGTATCCGATCTTTATCGGCGGATATGCTTGAAAGTCTGTCGGCAAAGTTATTAAGACCCTGAGAGCGTCTAAATTAAACAACAAGTATAAGAAAGCCCACACACACACAAACACACATAAACACACACACACACACAGGCACACATACATTTTCACTTTCTTTTGTTTTGAGTCGGTTTGTGAAAATTGCAATTTTTATTGCACTTGGGTCGCTTGAATGAACGCCCGCATGAAATAGAAAGTTAAATATAAGAAAACACATACACAATGTTTCTGTGTGTGTGTGTGTGTGTGTGTGTATACATTTATGTAGGGCTTAAGTTCTAAAACTGAAAGTCAAACTGAACTTTAACCCGTCAGCGACTTCTCGCTTTGGCACTTGTTGGCGCCCCAAAGTTTATGGCAAGAATTTAGAACAAATTATTTACTTTCTCCGTATGGAAAAATATGAAAAGCTTCACACACATAAAATGACAACAACAACAACAACAACAACAACAACAACATAAAATGCATTGTGGATGCTCAAATTGTTGTTGTTGTTGTTATCGTTATTGTTGTTGTAGCTGTCACGTTGTCTGCTGTTTATTAAAACGCAATTCTGGTTTGTTTTTAATGTAGCCACAATGAAATTGTTTTTATGGCGTTTGCCGCTGTTGCCAGTGCTGCTGCTTTATTTGCAATACCCTGTAGATATTGTAGATACATTGTTTTGTTTATTGGGATATGATGATTGAGGGTGGCGACATAAATATAGGTCAAATGTGTAGATGAACGATAAGTATATTCATATTTAGTTTATTTATCGGTTAACTGAAGTTAAGAACTTATTTCTGATAGGCTCAGATGTATATGTAGCTAAAAGTCATGCCTGAAATGAGGATTTTCTAGTGGGTGGGGAACAGCTTACTAAATCGTTAAATCATAGTTAAGTATCACAAGCTTATATAATCGAAATATTTCTGTCTATACAATATGTATAGCGATAATATATAGGGCTATCCATATTAGACGAACTCATCTGAATAATCTATATTTATATTTGACAGAGATTGTTTATCGTTTATCTCTATCTATCTATATTTAGATTCCTTTAAGACATATTTCTTCACATACTGGAAACGCTCTATATATAGTCCACATATGTTTACTTGATTTGTTAAATTATTCCAAGACTAACATTTCCGATATATATGAGTTCAATTTGGCAAGTGAATCTGAATCACAAACTCTTTTACTCTGCATATATTTGCCTATTCATAATACAGAGCTTAAGTCTTTTTGACAGTATACGATATCTCGAATTCGAGCAGTGCCTACCAAAACGCTTTTATTTATTTCTTTTTTATTTTTTTTTTTACTTTGTATTTTATTTTGTTTTGGTCGCGACCGCAAAATGGCTCACAGAAACAGTGAAAAATCTCATGGCTCTTGAGAGAAAAGTGCAAGGCGTGTCACAGCCAGATGCCGGATTATGCTTTGCGGCTAGTGGTTGGCGGTTGGCCCGGCTAACGACGCGACGCGGCCAATAGAGAGTGTAATGTCTGCTGCGGCACTTGGCTTGGCCTTGCCGCTGGCACTCATTCAGACAATCTAGCTTCGGGCTCGCGTGCACTGAAGCAGTTCAAGCAACACATTGAGAAACCTATCTCCACAGATGCGCTTGTGCTTAGCCAGGCAGCTGCACCCGCACAAGAACAGATCAGCTACGGCATGTTTGTGGTGGACTCGTCGCTCCCTAGTGTGGGCAACGCAATGGACAGCTTGACGGCTTCGACGGGTCTGCATTATCCATGAGTTGGGCTGAGGCGCATAAATCGTGGCGACGAAGCGAGCTTATTAGATGTCAGGCATGAAATTTGTGCATAACAGATGTAAAGCTTGAGCGGAGCTGTCAAAGTGAGAAAAAGCAGCGGACGGGCGAGATGATACGAATTTGATTAACTATGAGATGCCCTGTGAAAAGTTGATAAATGTTTTACGAAGCATTTACGATGGCTCGAAATAGAGATAATACTCAATTGTGCCTTTTATTGTTGCATAAGCATAACAGATACCCTGTAATAAATATAAAATATATACTAAGAGACATACCTTCACCTGATCTAAGAGAGGAGGAGAGGAATGCATATTCGCTGTAAATACATATAAATATTTTTAGATATATATGTTTTTGTTCTATAGAAGAATTTGCGGTTGACTGACTATGAGATGCCCTGTAAAAATGTAGAAAGTATATTTACATGGAATATATATCATTAAACATAGGGAAAACTCTGAATAGGGCGTTATGAATTCGAGTAGAGTATACCCTGTAATATTATTTAATTACACCATTATGATAAACAGATACCTTTCAAAAGCCGTGGCACTAGATACCCTGTAAGGTATTGGTGGCAATAACTTTTTGCTATAGACTTCACAGCAATCAGATCTATAGGTGTCTCAATTTATATATATTATTCCTTCTTGGTACTCGATATATGAAAAATAGTATAGAATAGAAGAATACGATATAATATAAATCTAAAAGAATAAAATAGCTAAAGCTCTAGTACAACTAACACCCTAGCTCCCTACTACAATATATTTAAAGTTTTGGTCGTTCACCTTTACCTCAGCAGCGTTATACCCCAACTGAATGTTGGGCATTAAAAACACACAAAAACAAATGAGAACTGTCTGCGCGGCTTAAAGTTTTTTGTTCATATTTTTTGTATGGACATAATGAAATGCTCGTCTCTTTCAATGGCGGTCTTAGCCAACTTGAGGGTCCGTCCAACTCTCTCCATGGCAATATTATGCAGCCGGGCTGAAGCGGTCAGTGAACCTACTTAGTTAAGGACAGCACGGCACAGCAGTATGTGTACTTGAAATGAGCGCCATTCACCAGTGCTCATCAGCATTGAAAAGTACTCGTAATGCTATCAAACAAACCAAATATAATAACATCCAGCGATCCATGCAAATCGAAGGCCTTGCCCTATCCCGAGCCCCGGGCCCCGGGCCCCGGGCCTCTGGCCGGCCATTTGGTGGGCATTAGTGAAAGTAAAGTGGAAATTGCGGCAGCTAAAATCAGAAATTAGTGGCCCAGAAAGCGACGGCAAAAACAACAAGAGGGAAATCTTGGACTCGCATATATCCGATCGGCAATGCCTTCTGTGGGCAACAAGTAGCCGGCCACACGACAGTCATTGGACTGTGGGACCTGTACAGGTGCCGCTGTGGGGCCTAAATTTGCGACTTTATTAGTTGAAAATGAGTCGAGTGGAGTCGGAGCTGCGGGGCCCGAATCCGAAATGAGGGGCGGCTGAGTGGCATGCGAGCAAATCCCTTTGTGGTCGCAGCACCTGCCACATAAAGTGCCCAATACTGGCGCTGACTGGAGCTGGGCGAAAGTACTGGACAAGAATACCAGAAGATAAAGAGACACACACACATACAAAGTATTTCCGCTGGTCTTTTTGGGGAAAATATTTGTTGCTAACGTGGGCTCAAAGCCACAATTATGCGGCAGCTTTCCTTTTGCCTGGCTGGCTGCCTGTTCGCCAGTGCGACTTCATGTGGCACGTTCTATGAGAAACTCAGCGGATGCTGGCTCATGCATAAAACACAGACAACACAGGCAGGGCCAACAATTTGTATTTTGTGGCAACAGCAACGGCAGCGGCAGCGGCAACGGCAGCAGCAACGGCAGCAGCAGCCGCAAGTCAATGGCCCGGCCTGGCTTTAATAGATGCATATCATGATAGCTGAAAGCCCTCGATTGCATTGGCCATCAGCTAGATATAGGCTGGGTGTTGATCGGATGCTAAATAGAGTTGCTATTGCTGTTGCTGCTGCAGTTGTTGGCGTTGTTGTTGTTGTTGTTGCCTCCTTTTTGTGAAATTTGCATAATAAAATTGAGCTGCAAATTGCAAGCGTTTAGTGGTTAATAAATACTTTCTATATGGCAATCGAAATGCGAGGCGAAAATCGGCAAATGCCAAATTGAAATTAAAGTGTCGACAAGAGCAACAACTGCAACACCAGCAGCAGCAGCAGCAACAGCATCAGCGACAATGTTGACCAAAACGGCAGCCAGTTTAAAATGGTCAAAAGCTAAACACCTACCTAGGCAACAAATTCAACTAATATATTTGGCCATAAACAACGAAAGCGGCTGGCAAAACGAAAGAAAGAAATAAAACAAAAACACGTCCAAAGCCGTTGCGGTTGTTGTTGCGACTGCTGTTGCTGTGGCTGTTGCTGTTGCTGTTGGCAGCGCAATGATCATTAGAGGCAGCAACTACCCAACAGCAACGGCAACAGCAACTACAGACACGACGTCTCGACTCCAACTCCAACTCCAACTCGAACTTGAACAACTGCAGCACGAAGAAAATCAAATTGCGATTAACTCAAGCTCGAGCTGAGCTCGAGGTCTATATAAGAATAGGCGCGCCAAGGCTGGCCATCAGTTTGATTGAAACCAGCAGCCAGTGCAAGCAAGACGCGCTCCAAGGCAAAGCCAACGATATCACATACCCAGCCAGGATTAGTCCAGACGCGTGTGTGTGCGTGCGTGCGTGTTTCTGCGTGTGTGTGTGTGAGTTAGCTACGACGCGTGTGCCTAGTGCAACAGTGAGTGTGCGTGAAAATGACATTCAGGCAAAAGCATTTAGTGCTCCTGCTCGGCCTCTGCCTGGCCATCAGCCTCAGCAGCAGCGGCTGCGATGCGGCCACCGAGCAGCTAAACAATCTACCCGCCAGCGGCAGCCAGAATGCGGGCGCACGCACTCTGCTACGGGTCTACGATGAATGCAATCGGGCCGAGAGCGGCTTTGTGCCATGCCTGAAGAAGAAGGCCATATCGTTTATCGATCGCATTGCGCCCATCGATGCCATCAATGTGGCCGATGGCATCAAGCTGGTGCGCCTCGAGACGGCGCCACGCCCACCCGCCTACAGCGACAACGAGCTGGAGTCCTCGCTAGCCCGCTCCGGCAGCGACCGGGATGCGAAGCTGACGAATATGCTGATTGAACGCTTGAGCTACTTCTTCAACGGGCACTCGCTGCAGGTCAGCTTCCCCAAATTGACTTCCGATGAGATTGGACGCGGACTCGAGGAAGGTAAGCATGCCACACCACACACACACACACACACAAGCTGACTGTAATTGCAGTTATGTTAACCGCTTCATGCATTTAACCATTGCGCGTGACAGTGACATAATTTTGCCAGAGCTCCGTTCATAATTGACGGTTATTAGAGCCAGGCGTTGTTGGTTACACATATCACACTATAAATATACACTTATATGTGTCTATACATGCTGTGCATACACAGACCAGGCCTAATTGAATAGCTGACAATGACATTGGCAGCCAGGAAGTGGGTTAACAACTGCCGCGCGCTTGCATTGTATGCTAAGAGCGGAGCGTGGCGCAGCGTGGAAAATTCTAGTCTTTGGGAAGATGTGCAATTGTTTTCCAGCCTAAACATACACACACACACGCACGCACACAGTAGTCAAAACTCGTTCGAAAAACTTACATTGACCTATAAACCTAAACAACAACAATGACAACAGCAAAACAACAAAAATTGTCATGCCAGAGTTTCGTATTAGCCCGCAGAAATAAATATAAACATGAGCAGACAGACAAACGCATGCAGGAACGCTCATGAAAGGCCTGAAAACAGTGTTTATGTGTATCATTTCTAGAGAGTTTTTGGGAAAAACTTCAATTCGTAATTGTAAACATAGAGAGATATAAAAGTCCAGACTGAAGCACAGCTAGATAGAAAGCCGTCTTAGTTAGTTGTGGATAGTGGACTATTTTTGTATAAATACATATATAATGCACATATATAGTATACAATCTACGCACAAACTTATATATATTTCATATGGGGAAGTAAGTTGTAATGGACTAAAATCAAAAACTAGTTTCAATGGTATAAACAAACAAAAATTAAAATAGAAGAATTTAATTTGTTGGAATTTATGGAAATAGTTTGGCTAAGAATATAAGGTAAAAATTTTACATTTTACATTTGGTTTAGCATGGGCAAACGAGAAAAAAACAAAAGCTCATAAAAGTAATTATCAACAGCATGTTAAAATATCAGATCATTTGAAATTCAAATGTTATTGTTAGCTAAGAAAACATGTTAACTATTTTACAGATCAGGATGCCAAAAAATAAAAAATAGTTTTCGAGATTTTTTTTTTTTTTTTCAAATACGAGATCATCTCGTGTTTCTCAATTATTACAAATCAGTTTCCTAACGCTCTCAAAATGTAAAGTTTGTTCTGCTAGTATGTTAATAAGAGTATGTTAATGTTTATAAACGTCACAGCTAAATTATGCAAATTGAAAGCGGAGCAGAATAATTTAGCATATCAATAACATGCGCCTACTATAAGCCTGTTAAACATGAATTATATTATAATGGGTAATCTCATATTTAGCTTAAGCTTATCAATAGGTTATATACATCATGTGTCATATCTAATATATTGACATACATAAATTATATAACATAAAATAAATCACAGCTAAACATTTTGAATTTCTGTAGAGCTCCTATTCTTAGCAACTCAAACTAAGCTAAGCTAGAAAACTTAAACTAACCTAATCGTAACTCTAAGTCATCATTAAATAATTGGTAAATGGAAGAACTTTTCGAAACTTTCTCAGTGTTTTGATTAAGGCTTAAGCACTTTAATTATCAAAATGTAATCTTTAAATCCCCAACAAAATAATTTCCATAAAAGTTTTCACTCAACTGCAAAGTGCGCAAAGAAAAGCTTATCAACAATAACAAGACAGATATTACTCATGGCAATACACTCGGTCTGGTTAATGGACTCAAGTAAAAAGCAAAATAGAAAGAACCGCCGAAAGTTGAGTTGAAGTACATTTAAATACGGCCTCTTTGGAAACACACGGAAACACGACACGCCACGTTATGCCGTGCCATGAGATGTCATGACCATGTCGAATGCGCAGCCCAATGAAAGTGTTGGCCACGTTTCACTTGGCCTGGCTTGGTGTGCGGGGCTTCTTGTGGGCTGGCTGGCTGGCGGGCGAGTGCGCTTTGCATCAATTACAAATTTGACAGAAGCACTTAAAGCATTCGCAGCGACAGCCAGCAACAGGCCGCAAATATTTTCTCGTAATGAAAAGCGAACTTACTTTCACTTTCCTCTTTTTACTTTCATATTATTGATCGAGATCAAGATATTCAGTTGCTCAACATGGCCAACGCTTTCCCAACTGCCATTTGCAGTTAATTGCAATCGCATCTTGTTATTGACTTGGATTTCGGTTGCATTTGCACATATCACAGATCGCACCCCCCTTTGCATTTTCACCTGAGCAGGTGAAATCGCCGAAAATGTCCCTGATGCAAAAGTAATGCAAGCAACTACAACAAAACGAAAGTCACACGAGCAACAAAGCTTTATTAAATATACACATACATATATATAACTATATATATTTATAAACATTATATATATTGTTGTATGCGCGGCCTTTGTGGCTGGCGAACTTTCTCCAGAGCTAGGAGCGCTCCCTTGACATTAAGGCCAAGCATCAAGCTGAACAAACGCATTGTTTACAGCTGCAGGAATTACGTGGAAAGCGTGTGGGAATTCAAGCCAAGAGTGATTTTCAGTCACATTTAACATACATACATACATACATAGTACATATATGCCTACAATTATGTCTTTAAGCTCAGCTGCTAAATGCCTTTTATTGTGTGTCGTTGCAGGCCGCGGAAAGATGAAGAAAATGGGCATGATGATGGCCATGATGATGGCCACCAAGCTGATGGGCATGCTGCCGATAGCCATGGGCGCGCTTTACATACTGGCGGGCAAGGCTTTGATTATCTCCAAGATTGCCCTGCTCCTGGCCGGCATCATTGGGCTGAAGAAGCTGATGGCTGGCAAATCGTCGGGCGGCAGCTCCGGCTGGTCCTCGGGTGGCGGTGGCGGTGGCGGCGGCTGGTCCTCGGGCGGCGGTGGCGGTGGCGGCGGCGGCTGGGACAGACGTTCCTTGACCGAGGCGCAGGAGTTGGCATATCGTGCGCACAGCAGGCAGCAGGCGGCCCAACAGCAGGCGGCCCACCACCAGCAGCAGCAGCAGCAGCAGCCACTGGGAGCGCAGCCAGCGCTGGTCAAGTCATAGACGCCACAAACACACACACACACACACACTCCCAGACATCTATAGAAAGAAGCATATTCACACACACATCGAGTTCATAGCCCCCTAGAGTGCATTTATCTTGTAGATAAATGTGAGGGGCTGACAAACTGAGACGAGACAGGGCTGGCAAATTGTAATTAGATTTTCATCAACTGCTTTCTTCGGCTCACTTTTTCTTTTCGCACACCTCGACAAATGCGCAGTTGCACCTGCGGGTACATGGCTGCAAATGTATCTGTAACGTGCAGCTAACTTAATCATTGGCATTTGCATGAGACACAAATCGATTTGCGTAATACGCACCCAGTTCCGCTTCCATTCTATGCCCGTTTACAGCTATTCAAGTGCAACGTCTGTCTGAACTTTATCTCTGCACCTCTCAAGCGCGCCGACTCTCTTGGCCAGCTAACTGCACTCCCAGTTCCTGTTATTTTTCAATTATTCATTCACTCACTCACTCACTCACTCACTCTGTCTTCTTTCATTCATTCTGCTCGGCTTCTGCTCTCGTTTCCAGCTCATTTTTTCACGCGTGCATTTTTCGATTAGCTTTAAGCTTAATTCATTTAACTGTAGTCTAGTGTAATAATTTATTAACATTATTTATTTCTTAACTCTAGACGTGTCTCGCATGTAAGCAGCAAAGTTTTTCAAGAAACACAAAAGTAACAAAAAAAAAAGAGGAATACCAGCACAAATACAAATACAATTACAAATTATACATATAAATATTTATATAAATAAATAAAACATTTACGTGTAGAAACGATGTGTCTTGGCTCAATTTATTAAAGTGTCTAGGCGTTATCTGTCGCAAGGTCACGTTAAAGTTCAGCTGCTGCGGCCTCACGTCCTCAGCTGTATGCTGATGTAGCTGCACGCAGAGGACACGTATACACTTCCTGCCATCCGGTTGCCATATGCCAAGCTGCTCAGTGTCCTTGACAACCTTTGTGACTGCCTGACTGCGAGCGCGTATCCTGCGTATCCTGCGTTTCCTGTGTCGCCATATGTCGTCTGCCCGCCCACTCGCACTGCCCATGCCTTGATCCTCTAGATGCTTTCACGTACGACTGCCCCAGCTGAGGCCGGCACTGAAGTTTATTGCTCCTGCAGGGAATTCAAGAGGACAAATGCATGCAATGCGAAAATAAATAATCGGAATCTCCTATACACTCGGACAAATATTCGCTTGCCAGCGACTGCGGTTAATTATGAAATGACTCGGCAGAAATATCTTTAACGCTTGTCCGATTAGAAAGGCGACATAATCAGCTAATTAATTTATGGAAAAATCCCCTACACAGCTTGAATTCATTCAAGTTCAATGTCAAGCCCGCAGCTCGACAAACCAATTTCAAGTTTCCAAAAAAAGAAAAGAAAAAACAAAGAGACAAATGCTCAATGCTCAGGCTTCTGTGCATCGCTTTTTAACTGTTGAGCTGTAACCCTTACATAATTATCAGCGGCATAAATTAAACTTGATTAAGCGAAGACCAGTTGAGCTCGTCAACTGATAATCTATTCTGCCTTTCAGATAGACTGGTTTGCCCCTCCGGGCATCTGCCAAATGACGTGCGTATTCCGAAAGAAAGACAATTTTACTGTGGCATGAAAACAATATGTTATGCAAATCATAAGAACGGATTTACGCATTTTGGTGGGCGTGTCGGAGCGAGTTCTGTAAGAGCTTATGCCGTTTAGAGACTTTTAAGGTGTTTTAGAAACGATTAAATTTTGCCTTTCAAAGCGGCTTCTTTTTGCTGCACCAAAATTAATTTACATTTTTATTTGTTAAATGATTTTTTGGGAAACTTTTTAGTTCGTTAAAATAGTGTTAAAGAAATAACAGTTCCGCGATCGAACCGGTTTAGTAACCTTGAGCTGGAATTGATGGCAGAATATTCCAGACTTTTTAGGAACTCTTCAGAAAATCCGTCTGTTAATCCCCGTTGACTCTTCAGTTCAGATTTTCAAGCACAATCACTGATTAAAGATATCGGATCCTGAATTTTTACAGGATATCTCAGCTGCATTCACAATTAAAAAATTCGGCAAACAATTTTTTTTTTTTTTTCAGTTTTTATTTTACATTCTCCTTACTCTACAGATAGTCGGGCGTTTACTTCTTCTTCCACCAGCCGGAGGAGCCACCATAGCCGCCGCCATAACCGCCGCTGTAGACACCACCGTAGCCGCCACCATAGCCGCCACCATAGCCGCCGCCGTAGCCGCCGGCAGTGGTTGTGATGACCTTGTAGACCTGGACCAGACCGCCATGACCAACGCCATAGCCGCCGCCATAGCCACCGCCATAGCCGCCATCGTAGACGATGTGGCCTCCGCCGTAGCCGCCAGAGTAACCACCGCCGTAGCCGCCACCGTAGCCGCCGCCATAGCCGCCAACTCCACTGTTGATCACCTTAATGACCTGGACGCCACCGTTGCCACCATAGCCGCCGCCGTAGCCACCGCCATAGCCGCCTCCATAGCCGCCGCTATAGCCACCGCCATAGCCGCCGCCATAGCCACCGCCGTAGCCGCCGCCGCCGCCCTTGCCTAGGAGGCCAAGGAGTCCAGCTTGGGCTGTTGCCAATGTGGCGACCACCACGAGGAGACACACAAACAGCTGAAGAAACGAGAGAGAGAGAGAGAGAGAGACTTAGTGACTGTGCTCGCAATGTGTGAAAGGAGTCGAATCCTTGAATCCTGGCAGCGGGTTAACTCACTTTCATAGCGCACCGAACTCTGTCAAAGCAGGCGAAAAACTAATTCGAATTAGGCAAAGCGCTTTCAATTTATGAGCAGACGCCTCCCAGCTGTCTGCGCATCAAACCGACTTAGCCTGGCCAAGAACAACACCAACAAAAAGAAGGCAGCACAGCAACAATTTGGCCAGCCGAGCATGAGTCTGCATGTGTGCGAGAGAGATGGCCTCTGGAAAGGTCTGTGGCTGTGGCTCCGAAAGTATATTTATTATTTGCATTAGTAATCGCTTAGGAAGTGTGGATCTTAAACTAGTTCTGCTCGAATTAATTAGCATCTCATTTGGAACTAAAAGAAACAACAAAGGCTAGCAAATCAGATTCGGTTCAATAACGATCGACTGCATACTTTGTACACTCTGCTCTCAATCCAATTAATGCGATTGGCAAACTAATAATAAAATAATAAAAAAAAAAAAACAACTAATAATATTCACTGGCTGCTTATTTTTGTTGTTGTTGTTGTACATCTGCATGTTGAGATAAATTAATTTATGACTTTAATGAACGCTAGTCAAGCAGTCAAATTGTTGTTCAGCCACCACGCCAGGTGAGTGTAGGTAGATGTGACCAGTTTATAACACTCTGCAGCTCACACACACTCACACTGGCAAACATTTAATGAGACTGTGGCAATAAAAATTAAATAAACACATTAAAGCCTTAAACGATTCCAGCGGGCATCGTGCATGATTGCATCTAGCCATGCCTCTCGCCTTGACAATGAAATATTATGAGGAAGGCAAAGGCAGATGGCCGATGGAGTTGACACAAGGAGCTCTTGACTTGAATAAGGAATAACAGCAATGAGCGTAATTTCAGCTGTGTGCATTAATTAACAATCTAATTACCCAATTTGAGAGTGATCAATTGTAGTTGCTAGTTTTAAGCAGCTCTTGAGTCAAGATATGAATTGAAACTGTGCTTATCTGCAGAGCTAAGCTGCCAGCGACTGCACAATACTCGCTTACTGTCCCATCAAAGAGCTAAATTTATCAATGAGTGAATCGCACACACAAGAGATTATTTTTAGTCGATTAGACAAAAGATCTCTCAAATCAAGTGCCTAGCGACAACAGCAGCAAAATGTTTTGCTAGACGACCAAAAGACAAAATTAACGAGCTGAAAAAAAGAAAAAAAATAATAATAATAAAAAATAAATAAATAAAATAAAATAAAATAAAATAAAATTAATTAAAATAAACTAAAATAACAAGTAATTAAATGTGTATTTCTAGGCCATTACAGCAGAAAGCCATCTTGACATATTTACATATGTAACATCTCAGACTTGTTTTAGTTTCTAGATGTTTCAAGATATGACCTCGAATACCTTCGTTGATTGATCGCTAATCAACAAAAATAAAGCAAAACATATAAAAATTGACATGTTGTAGAGCGACCTCAAGAAATTCTCTGAGCTATCATAGACAGCGCTAATGATTTCTCATTGAACATAAAGGTCGCTAATTAAATCATCTTATATTTTATTAAAGCATACGAAGGCAAACACTTGGCTAATTTTAACTCTCAGACCTTTCAAAATTGATAAGTTCCTTAGACTTAATCAAAGTTAATTTTCACTCTGAACGCAATGCAACTGAATATAGAATTTGTATGTTAGCCAAACAGCTAAATTTCGGATGAAAAGATATACTTTAAATGCCAAGTATATCTCATCACCAACATAAAGCTGCGATTTGGCTCCGATACTCTTGTATAGCTAAATAAGCTATAAAACGGTCGAATTTTGGCTTCAGTTAATCCATAAAAAATCCATTGCCAATTCAGCGTATTTCACATCATGTCAAACATCTGCAATTTATGGCACCCACTGGGCCTTATCTTATATTTGTAATAGTTGTATAAAGTCCCTTTCGGCTCCCTTTCAGCGACTGCTGCTATGAATACTCGATTGCGCCAGCTCGCACAGATATGTATCTCAGCTTGAAAAACTATCGCTTAAATAAAATAAAAAAGTTCAGCAATCACAACTTGGGCATGATGAAGCACGTAACCAATTTAAGCAACAGCAGCAGCAGCAGCTGTTGCGAGGCGAAGCAACAGCGCGTGGAGGTGGGCAGACGCTCCTTAGAGAATCCGAATCGGAATCCTGTGGCATGCAAAGCACAGGCTGTGGCACGAATCCAATTACAGCCGAGAGTGGGATCCACCTCAAAAGTATGCAACAGGCCACGGCAGCAGCAGCGAAAAATAAGCTTAAAAGCTAGCAACACTTTTACTCACATGCAACAGCTCCAAGCGAGGCGCCTAAAAGCGCATGCAGCGGCAGACAGGCAGCATTCGAAGACATTTAGGCGCAGCGTGGCATGCAGCAACTCGTTGACAGCGACAGACTGCAGCTTAGACAGGCGCCAATTAGCAGGCCGGCAGGCAGGCAGGCAGGCAATTGTGTTGCAAGTTCAGAGCTGGCAATTAGCATTGCACGTTGCCCCAAAGTGCTTGGGCTGAATGATGGCATTGGCCACACTTTCCCAGCTGAGGTCGCACTTGCACTGCGACTTATATAGAATCATAATATCAGCTGCAGACGGCAGTTGGCATCGAGAGGGCTTGCAACACGCAGCCAGGCAGCAAAAGTGAAAACGAGAGCTGAATCTAGACCTACTAGATATTATTGTATATACATATATATATTTATATTTTAATTAAGAATTAATGCTTCAATGGAGACGCGTGTGAGTGAGCTCGGCAATTGAAAAGTTTTGCAATTTCGAGTATCAAATCCGTCTGCTAACCGCATAATTAGACGTGTGGCAGGTGTGTGTGTGTGAGTGTGAGTGTGTGGTAAGCCACGCTTGGCAGCCACGCTCAGTGGCATAGTAAAAGTCAACTTGGTTGCATTTACAGCCAAGCCGGGGCTCAGCATTTAGTGCCGGCCACTTTCGGCGAAAGGCCATTAAAATCGCTCAACTAAAACAGTCGTAAACATTTTGGAGAGCTTCAAAGAATTGAACTACATCTTGGCACTCAGTTCGATTCTAAGCAGCGTGCGGTGTGGTTCGTGCTCTCGACACCTAAAACTATGTGGCAGCAAGTGTGGCAAGTATGTGTGTTAACCGTTTATGTGGCACTCGCACTCGCACAGGCCGAGGCCGGCCTGGATGCTCGCTTTAATGGCGTCGCTTCCGGCTTAACGAACAATGAGCAGCAGCAGCAGCAGCTACAAGTGAAGCTCAACGCCTGGCAGCCATTGACGGGCCACAACAATTGGCTGATACTGCAGGCAACGGCGGCTACGGCCATGCGACAGCAGCAACAACAACAGCAGCAACAGCAGCAGCCACAAGGGCAACTTCCTGTCAATTACTACGCCTACAATCATCGCTATCAAACGGTTGCGACAGCTGCCGCAAACGATGCTCCCAGCGGAAATTACAAACAGGTGCGATCCAATCTCAATGCGGCGGCTCCCAGCTACGTGTGGGCCCTCAGCCCCGCTCTCCATCGATTGTCGCACAGCGAGGATGTGCCGGACGTGCAGAGGGGACATATCGAGCCGGAAGCACGCGAAGGCAACAACCGCGTGACAAACACATACACAAACGCCGCTGATGAGGCCCTTGATGTTCCGGCTAAGCCCACCTCAGCAACGGCTCAGCGTATAAACAACTATTTGACAACGTTTGAGCGAGCCGTGCGCAAGGTGCGCAGCTTTTGTGACACTGTGCGAGATCTCATCTGGGATGACTGGGATGAGGGCCACGAGATAACGCAGGAACTCAGTTCGTTGGAGACAAGTAAGCTTGATTTTTAATAATATTGTATCAATGCTCGCTCAGCGAATCGAACGAGTGTATTGGGTTGTGCATTGATATATCTTAACAACAAACTCCATTATTCCTGGATCAGACAAAGGGCACAATTGGGAGCCTTTATTTTCAACAATAGACAATAAAGAGCTAGAGCACATAAAATGTGTAATAAATACATTCAAAAGGTCAATCGATAACATTTTGCTCATAGAGCTAGCTTAACAATGGAAGTAGAATAAACTGTTGTAAATATTGTCTATAATATTTCATAAACAAAATCTTTTGTAAAGTTCCAAAAATTATTTTAAAGTCCTTTCACAAATGTATCTCCCTTCAAACTTTTATTAAAATTTGAGCGAGTACCAAGCAGCTCCTTATATACCACTAGAATACATTATTATCTATTTTTGTTTTTATACCCTGAACCCATTGAAAATGGGAAATCAGGGTATAATGGTTTTGTTAAAATGTATGTAACAGGCAGAAGGAGGCGTGGCAGACCCCACAAA